TAGGCACTTCCTGTTCCATGTGGTGACTCGTCGAATCTGGGCTGATAATGGCTTCTCATACTTGCTATACACCTACTCAACTCTGAGTGGACCAACTTAAAGTTGATTAAACTGATTCATAGCAGCCATTGTGAAATCGACCTTAGGCTAGATCAATTTAGAGTTGGGAATTTAAATCTGAGTTTGTTAAACCTGCTTCGTGAAACTGTCATTGTTCAGAAGGCATTTCACTGTTGAAACACAACTTTTTCATAATTTTACTGATGAAGGGGAGATGTGAGATTGCCCTATAGTTCTGCAGGATGAATTTGTCCAAGCTTCTGTTTTTCAACAATGGTTTGAAATTTACTGTTTTGAAGGCTTTGGGTAAAACAACCCACATGAGGAATGTGTTAATGATTTGAATCAAACCAGCCTCTGAAACAGGTAAAACCTGCAGAAGGAAGATGAGCTAAGATGTTGAACAGTTTCTTCTAAATTTACAGTTTATTTGACATAATTGTGGCATTTTAAACTCCTACTTTTAAAAAGTATTATAGTCTAACAGAAAACAATAAATGTCTCAATGTTTGTATTATTATTTTCAGAACGATTTGGTCCATATTTTCACTGTTGGATTTCCATTATTTCATCTGTATATTTCAGGTAAATTCTGAATCTAAAACTGTGAACTGCTGATTTAACACCATGGCTACAGGATTATCTGGTGAGTCCACAAGATAAACTATGATTGTTATTAATGTATTTGATATTAATGTTATTCCCTTGAAATAATCTGTCAGTCTGTCTGCCTGTATATCCATCTATCTAGATTGTCTGTAACTGTAAAATAGATAATAGATAAAAATGTCACTATTTTTTTTTTTTTTTCAAAAATATCCTGCATTATAAGGATACTACTGAAGCTACAAAAAAAAACTTCCTGTCAGACATGTCTCCAACCATTTTGCTGAACAATAAAAGTTCCTTTAGATATTACAACAAATCAAGTGTCTCCACCACACTACGGTTATATGGATATGAGGTGCTTTTATGGCTATAAATCAAACTTTGACCGGAGCCACTCCTGACTTGTAGAACATTTTATTACATTGCTGTACTTCTACATTGGTAAGATGTTAATTTCTGCTGTGCTATGGTATCAAAACTACTAAACCAGGGGTCTTCAACCTTTTCAAGGCCAAGGACCTCCAAACTGATGGGGAGGTGGAGCAGGGACCCCCTACTTATATGTATTTTATGAAATTGTGTTATATCAAACTGGTCTTATATCGCCATGTGTAAATGCACCTTGTTAATAGGCATTCAATACCAAGATACTCAAATAATACACAAGTTCATATACCATATTCATGTTTTTATTTTAAAAGTGCGAGGTACGGTAGTAGGGTGGCCATGCCATGGCCATTTACAAACATATAAAAACACAATAAACTGATACCTGCCAAGATCAACAATGTCTGTGAATTGCATGTAATCATGCATAAAAGCTACTCAAATTGACATTTTTAAAACATAGATGTGGAAAGGAAAATTAGTGATACTTTTTAGTGCCCCTGGCATGCATAAACATACCTGTCATATTGCATGCAATGCTATACTATTAACACAACTGACAGATTCATGTTTTAATTTTAAACATACATGTAGTATGGGCAGTGAATCCTCAAACCATCTATGGATGGAATACATACTCCCACATTAGTGAGATGTCTGACCCTGATGAGTAGCACACAACTTATTTAACCTTGGATGTATGGAGGTTGTCAGGCAGAGAGTCACAACAGCCTTAGGCTGCAGTCTTGACCTGTATTTGTTTTTCAGGTAGGTGATTAAGGAAAATCCACCTTCACAAAAATATGTTGTAGCAAAGGGCAACAGGCTCATCATGGCTTTTGCTGTGGTTTTGTTGTGGAAAGTTTTTATGGCAAGATATCCAAAACTGGGTGAGTGGTTTAGTTTCATATAAGTTTCTGATGCTGTCAGTGGACAGTTCCATGAGCTGATCCTGATCCATGTCACGGTCAGTCCTTCACCGTCTGCTGCATTGTCTCTGAATGGAAACTGTATTCATGTCTTGTCCCTGCGCCAGGAGTCGGCCTCAAACAATTAGTTCCTAAATTGCCCATGGAGCGCCTCCAAGTGCTCAAGAATCACATGTGTTAAAGGGCATGAGAGCTCAGAAGAATCTCCCAGCTCATCCATTGATGTAAACATGGAAAATATGCCCTCGTTCCTTCCGTTTTCTGATTTTTTTTATTTCTTATGAAGCCTTTCATCCTGTCATACAGCTGAAAGGCATGTGTGCTGCGACCTTAATTAGAACTGTTAAGTTTATTCAGCTCAGCAAAAATGTCAGCAAGATATACAAGTTTGGTGATCCAAACATTGTTGATAAAAAGTGTTGCTCTCCCCAAAGGAGGATGGAGGGAGGGGTATGTAATAAATTGAGGGGAGGAAGTGGCTGGGTGAATTATTTAGGGGGGGTGGGGGAGCTCTGGTTGGGTGGCCTGTGGAAATCCTGTGGCTTTTGCTGGGGGTGATCTGGTCTGGGTGCGGGATGGGGAGCTGGGCCCGAAGCAGGAACCAGATGGGTAGGTGTAGCGGTGGCGATTTTTAGGTTCACTTATCGGATCATCCGATAACCCCGGGACCGACTACCGGTGCCGCGGGGTCCTTGGTCTTGGGATCGTTGGATATGAGTGTTATGTGTGAATGTGTGTCCTCGTTTTGTTGACTCATTACTGCTGCTTAAAGAGTCTGTGTGGTTTGAGCGGGGGCACTAGGGTGGGAAGGCATGATTGAGACTGGGTTTTTTTTTTTTCCAGGTTGGGGTCTGAACTGCCCCCTCTCCCAAACACATCTCAAGTCTCCGTCAAGTGTGGAGCCAATTTCCCCCACCCTGCTCTCTCTCCGCTGGCTGGTGCCTGGGCTCGCCGGTGCACTGGTGGAGCTCAGGGTTTGGGGGTGGATGCCCGGGTCGCTACTGACTTATTCCTGGCAGCTTCTCAGTAGGGCTTGGCCAGCCGGAGCCCGAGATTGGGGCACCCCTGGGGCCTTGGATACCTGGGGCCCATGGCCAGATTCACTTTGGGGTGACTGGCTGCCGGCGGAGCCCGGGGACTCATCCTTGCGGCTCCTGAGGCTCCTTTGTTGCTGTGGCTGGGGGACTTCCTCAGGGCTGTCTCTCCTCCTCCCTTGGTGTGGGTCGGATTTCCTGGGCTGGCCCCTCCTTAGCGCCTTCGCTCTTGGGGTTCCTTTGGGCGTCTGGGGCTTTGGGTCTCCCGGCGCTGGACTCACAGCCACAACCACTATTGAGCATTTTATCTGTGGATAAACTTTACATGCACAAGTGCAATTTCACAAACAGCTACAGGTGCTTGGTTCCAGGTCCTTAAAGGGTAACGCCATTTTTTTTTTACATTGGGCCCTTGATTTCATATTAATACATCAGGTTCTACTCACCCATATGAGTTTAGTGTCATTTGGAGCCGTTCTGAAGATATTCAGTTAGGTTATGTCCAAGTAAAGTCTTCCTATGGGCAAGGACTTGAAGACCCAAACTAAACTGTTTATAATTTATTCTTTATGGTACGCCAGCATTCATAACATGTAGGCGAATCACTGTCCCCCACACATCCGCGGGTATATTTTTTATATTTTTTAAAAACAAAGCAGAGTGTGTATGACGACATCTGCACGCATGACTGGAGTTGTGACAGTCAGGCGGCTACGTTCTACCCCTTCTATTTCGGCTAGCTAATCTGAATTGTTCAATTCCATTTCGAGAGCTAGATCATCTGTGGTAGCAGCACTAGACATCTTCCAGGCATGTGAGTAAAACTAGCAGCAGTTCAGCGGACAGGATGAATGAATGGTAGCCGCTATTTCATCCAAAATCTGTTGGGCTCATTTTGGCATCAAGACAATTATTTTATTGCCACATCGCCACACACTGTTAAAAAAGAAAAAAAAAGTAAAGAAAAAGAAGAGTGCAGCCAGCTCTGGGCACTTTAGGAGAAGTAAGAACTCCCTAATAGACTTGTGTAATTCTCCTTTTTTTTGGTGTAATTCTAACACATGTGCCAATACTGTTCCGCGTGAATGCCAGTGCATCTCAGTATGGTACAGTAGCCCAGTCTGCTCCCCTCTTTCCGTAAAAGTTCAAAAAAATATCCGCTGGACTTGGTTTCCAAGATTTGAAGACGTTTCGCTACCTCTCCAGGAAGCTTTCTCAATTCAAATGTCTGGATCTGCAGTGAGTTTGAGTCTTTATAGAGACAAGGCCTTGTATTGCTTGGAAACATGCAAATGAAAACCGATGAATGAGTCGTTTGGTTCCATTGTTAGCCTGTAATATCTAAACCCTAGTGCCCCCACTCACGACACACAGACTATTTTAAGTACAGATGATTTACATTAACCACCTTTGAAGTTTTTTTCTAACTATCACATCAGCAAATGATAGTTTAAATATGTTAATAATTAGTTTTTCATTCCTTCTGTTCCAGACAAAATACCACAAATGAGACGGAGGAGCAGCAAGCGCCTTCTCCCTCCCAAAAGTAAGTTTAGAAACACTCCATATTGTGTTCACTCCAAAATATTTGCATGAATTATAAATGTCAGAGAGGCAATAAACAAATTCATTCAAAGTTTTCAACAAATTAAATACACTTTATCTCTCTGGACACTCTTAGCTCACGTGTTCCAGGGGTCCGTTTCATGAAGCAGGTTTTCTGTAAACTCTTTAAGTTTTCTAAACCTAAAATCAGGTAAACTGTGTCTTTTCCATTTCAGATATAGAGTTTACTCAACCTCTGTTTCAGTCACCATAGTAACATTTTCCCCACAGCTAACCTGGTCGGTAGCAGGTTTTGTTAAGTAAACTCAGAGTGTCCTCTGTCTCCTCTCTCCTTACAGCCAATCATATTGTTGTCCTGATGTTGTCAGATTGTTGTCGTATTTTTGTGCATTAAAAAATTCACTAGTTCGTAAGGTTTAAAAACAAATATTGTA